CCACTCTTCTCTGCTGAGTTTGTTCGTTGATAGAAGTGATGACTGAGATTACAAGCTCAGCATTTTGATTTATTACGCAAACTTTCCCCATTTTTATGGGAATTTCATTTTGACCATCAATTAAACTGCTAATGTATTTTTGAGTTTATTCATTGTTTGGTCTACAGAAAAGAGAAAAGTTCATGACAGGTTTATTTGATTTGTTTTGCAGTCTGAATCCATTTGATGCCACGATTACTGTATCTTGGGCATAAAGTAGAATATCTGTGGTAGATGTTCGTAAATATTAAGATATTGATCCAAGATTTATTTTGGTTTTGAAATAGTTATTACATCAAAGTGGAGTGCTGTAATTCCACCATGTTAGGCAGAAATAATTATTCCCACTACTGAAATGACACCATTGCTCATTACTTCTCATGCATAAACTCTTTAGGCTGCATGACTACCAGCATTAGTATTAACAGCATTGGTAAATCACTTTAAGGTGTCTTCTTATCTGTTTACAGTGAACATAAAATTACATTAGACAGACCCATCTATGCTGACACAATGATACACATTAACCCAGCAACCCACTGCACTTATGGTGTCTCAGCTTTCATTATATTAATGTATTTTTAAAAAAATCACAGGCTGAGGAACTGACCTGTAAATCAATTCAACAAACAGAGAACAATGGTACTTCCCCGGTGCATGCACTTAGAAAGCTACAACATTAACTGACAAAAAATTGATTAAAATTGTTGATCAGCAAAAAAAAAAAAAAAAAAAAAAAGAGAGAGAGAGAGAGAGAGAGAGAGGGGGTAGAAAAGTCACTGAAACTCAAACTATTTAAGTAATTAGGTCGGGGGTGGGGAGTTCACAGCTTAATCTATTTAATTCATTTGTGGATTTGGGCTGAAAGTACTGAGAAACATACATCTGCCCAAATGCATGTACGAGTCACTTTACTGGCTACACTAGTACTAGGCTGGACTCCACATCCATGATATTAATCTCCTTTTCTACCAAACACCAAAGGAGATGTGGTGACTGTGGAGGTCATTTAAGTGCAGTGAACTCGCTGTCTTGTTCAAGAAGCCAGACTGAGATGATTTGAACTTTGTGACATGGTGCACTGATAGAAGGAGCCATCAGAAAATGAGTACACAGTGGTCATAAAAGAATGGACGTGGTCAACAGCAATATTTAGGTAGGCTGTGGCGTTTTAACAATACTCTGTTTGTACTACAGGAAGCCAAAATGTGCCAAGAAAACATTCCCCGCACCATTACACCACCAGCAGCCTGAGCTGTTGATGCATTCATGTTCTTTACACCAAATTATGACGCTACCATCTGAATGTCATGGCAGAGATTGAGATTTAAATCACCTTTCTTCCACATTCTGATGCTCAGTTTGAACTTTACCAGGTCATCTTGACAATGTCTACATGCCTAAATGCATCGAGGGGCTGTCGTCTGATTGGCTGATTGGAGGGGATGATGGATAAATTCAAGTAACAATGTTTCTCCCTTCATATTTTACGGGCTCCTGTAACTACCTTTCATATCATTAAGAAAGTGATCCGCCCCAGCTCAACTTTTCATTTGCTCTCACGAGCTGAAAAGGAGCCGTTGTTTACACGTCACGAGCTTTACCCAGTCAGTAAAATCAGGCCGTGCTGTAGTTCCAAGCCTTGTCAGAGCAGCCCAAACTCTCCTATTAATAAGCCTTTACAGCAGCTTTGATCCACCTCCCAGCAGACAAGGTTGGGCAGATTGTAGTAAGGATTTTAAAGCCATTCATGCAATTTTCCAATAAACCCTTTTCCCCAAAGGAAAAATCCCCAGAACATCCCAACAATGACTGTAAGAAGGTTCCTCTGAACCATGATTAAACGATTAAAACAGGCTGATTTTAGCCAACTGACTCCCAGTTAAAACAGTGAATTCGAAGTGGGGGCTTTATTTTAACAATGCACCGTGACATGACCTATCCGGGATGTAATCTTCTCTTAGGGACAGCCTGGAGGAGCTTCTATTAAGCCCAACACAAACTATGTTGGAACATCAGTGAACAATATACCTGTCAAACCCATGAGTGTTTCATCTTTTTAAAAAGCTATTTCATAAGATTAAAGACTTATGTGATTACTAATCAGCTCTGCCAATAAATATGCAGTCAATTAATGTGGTAAATAAGCAGGAAACTGCTCTTCCCTCAACATTAAGTTGACTTGATGGATTCTTTTCTTGTCAGACGCCAGCACACTCCCCGGCTTGAGTGCCTGGCCTGCCTCTCCGTGTCGTCTTTCATTTCCTTTTCACCCCCAGGTCTTTTTGTACCTGTCAATTTCTTTCTACAGTGTGACTCCTTAATCCACCTGAGTGCATAGAGGACAGTTTTGACATAAGAAGAAAAGATAGACTCCTAAGGAGAGGACCGGTATCTTTAGAGCCTTGGGGATAACCGGATTACGACAGCCATTTTGTGCTGCTGGCAGTTTTTCTTATTACCCATTTCCCCCCCATCATCTCTCCAGAGTTGAAACACTGCCCTTTCTTAGAAGTCACTCCAAACACAGACACAATACACGTTTTTCTTTTATTTATTTTTATTTCCCCCCCAACTAAAACAACAGAGAGAGCTTTCTGCAGGATAAAGAAAAAAGACATATACCAGTGACAAAGATAGTTTCCCCGCGCTGCCCTTTGTGCAGTCTACCTTGCACGTTGTTGTTTTCAAACAGTGGAAAACTCTCTAAAACATGGTCCCTCTGCAGAAGCAATAATTGTCTCTGTGTGGCTGCGGGTGCCTCCTGCGTGCGAGGCCCGTCTGAACCTACCGCATGGGAGATAACAGCACAGCTATGAGGAGACAGATCAGCTGTCTGACCCCTGCTGCCAATCACTTTGTCCCTCCAGCCCGTCTGCTGCGAGGGAACCCACAGGGAAAAAAACACTCCCCGAAAACGTCTTATCATCTCCACCACCGACGCATTGTGCCCTATCGGATCTTTTATGTCCATTTATTTCGCCTTTGAAGAGGCCTGCGGCGCCTTTGATTGTGGGAGGTAAATGAAATAAAGCCCCCCCCTTCTCGCTGGTACCCTGATATCTGAATTCATCGCTGCAACCGAAACCTAAACCCTGAGCTTCAGCTGACCACCGCAGGTCTGCTCACAGACAAACACATCCTGCTTCTGTCGTGGGTATAATCCGTTTCGCAGAAGTCATTTTTGGGCCTGGAAACCCTGTTATATGTTGAGCCTCTACAGTACATGTATTCTATACATTAAACCATTAGGGTTACCTTTTATATTAGGCAATAATAAATTATATGCACATAAACTACATATAAATCATAGTTAAGTTGCTGCTAAGTTTCTAAAAATGTCATTTCAATAACAGATGAGAAAGCTGAAGCATACATTTGATCAGATAAGGTAGTAATGATAAAACCTGTAACAATCAATGGAGTCACCCAGGACCTGTGAATTACAGCTCTGATTAATATTGATCCCACAGAGTACGAAGGAGGGAGGGGTGAGCCACTCACGCACATATTGATATATAATAAACCTGCATTGTGTCATTGGACAGAATTCAAATGAGCGATGTAAAAGGTAAGAGTAAAAACTGATTTTGCGGCAAATGTGGAAGCGAGTTTGGAGAGAACAGAGATCGGGCCATGGTGGGTGGCATCGCAAAGTGGGAAAACTGCAGGAAAAAGGGAGGGTGAGAGTTTGGGGGCGTTTTGTTAAGATCGGACTGAGGTCTGAATCATTGTCAGTTTTACAACCATGGCATGCAAAAGTAAGATGTTGAGGCAAAGAGGCAAAGACCCTTGCCGACAAGTTTCTTTCTAAAGACAGTCAGCCAAGCTGAATATGGGGAAATCTTTAAGGCATACTAATGAAATAGCACTTACCTGTTTGGAAATGTACTGGTCTTTCCTCACTAAAGCCAGTGGAAGCATTTTAAAGGTGTCAGCTTATTATGCAAGGGCTTGTTGGGGTTTGGCCCAACAGCCAAGACCTGCAGGCATTCCCATTTAATTTAGTTTTACACAGGGCCATATTTCAAGAGCCGTGTCATCCGTGTTGGAGGGGAATCTGGAAGTTTTAGCAATTTGAGGGGAATTAACAAGCTGCAGTTGGATTTTTTGGGCTGATTACATTGGTTTTAGACACTGTGTTTTTTCCACCATGCATTTAAAAACAATAGGAGCTGGTTCAACGTGGATTAACAAAAGAGGTATGCAAGAATACTTTGAATGGACAGCACAAAATTTAGAACAGAACTAAGAGTAGAAAAAGAAAACACTGTAGCCAAGAACAACTGTGGTGCTAACTGTGGCACAGTTTCAGAAAACCTGTCAAAATAAAATAAAATAAAATAAAATAAAATAAAATAAAATAAAATAAGGGTAGCTGACTTCCTTTGAAATGAAGATTATTATTGTGCAAATGAGGCATTCAGGGCCACAAGCAGCCGCACCTTTCAACCCCCTCATACAAATCCTTTTAGCTTCTAGTTTTCTGCAGTCCAGCTTCTTCGCTGGTTTTCATCCCTGCTTCTCTCAGTTGAGATTTGAAGAGACTAAAAACTGTTGGAGAGCGAGAAGAGGGGGTGCCCCTCAAATGTTGTAGGCCTTAACAGTCAGTTTTTTTGTGAGAGGATTACAGTGCGCTCTCTCATTCCCATTGGCTTGGCCCGCCGTGACAGTGGTGTGATGATGAGGAGGATGACATGCCCAGCATCTTCCATAACAAGCTTCCTCTTGGTTCCATTCATACGCCCAGGCTTTTGGCTTTATGTAGTTTTCAGCTCCACTTTGTGTAAACGCTTCAGTCAATTTGGACTTAGTGTTAGCTTAAAATATTTCTCTGGCTATTCCCGAGAGTTCTTCGCACTTTTCCATTTTACTCACTAGAGAAACATGAGCTTTTTGAAGGAGTAGGTGAATTTAAAGTGCGGTCAGTAGGTGTTTTAATTAATGCGTCTGTCCCTGCGATGGCAAAACCTTTAGATCACATCAAGAGACCTATGAACGCCTTCATGGTTTGGTCCAGAGGTCAGAGGAGGAAGATGGCCCGGGAAAACCCGAAGATGCACAACTCTGAAATCAGCAAGAGACTCGGAGCGGAGTGGAAAATGCTCTCTGACTCTGAGAAGCGTCCCTACATCGACGAGGCCAAGAGACTGCGGGCTCAGCACATGAAGGAGCACCCGGATTACAAGTACAGACCCCGGCGCAAACCTAAGAGTCTCCTGAAGAGGGACCGGTTCGTTTTCCCGTTGCCGTCTTTACTCGGGGACGCAGCGGAACACTTGAAAGGATTTTCCATCGACTCTTTTCTCGTCCCCGGGGATAAAGCCAGAGCTCTCCTGGCTCCCGCCTCCGCTGCTTCCTCATTCTCTCTCCTGGAGCCGGTGGCACATTTCAGCACCGGAGCTGTCCAGCGGATGGCGGAGATACCGCACTCTCTGACCGCAGGCGCCGTGCCCTACAGCGCGCACACCTTTGGATACCAGACTGGAGGGTTTGGGGGTCTGCCCTGCCCCGCACAGCACACCCACACTCACCCATCGCCTTCCGGCCCGGGATACATGATGCCGTGTAACTGTGGCGCCTGGTCTGCAGCTACTTTACAACCCCAGGTGGCATATATCCTCTTTCCTGGAGGGATGACCAAGAGCGGCATGGACTCGTACGCTTCACCCAGCTCCAGTGTGTGACAGACTGGATACACATAAAGACGCATGGGCAGGAGGGGGAAAGTTTGCGCACAGAAAGAAGAAGAGGTCGTTTAGAGACTCAGGCTTAGATGACCACATTTAAATATTAAAGTGTCAGCGCAGATATTTCAATCACGGATTGATTAAAAAAAAACTATAAAAGTCCCTGTATTACTCCTTATTCCATGTAAATAGAGTAAAAAAAAGTATTTAGAGAAGGGGGAGGGTGGTGATGATGCTAATTTGTTACTCTTTTGTAAGGAAAATCGTTTCAGTTTAAATACAGTGGACATGCATAACATAGGACCAACATGCTGAAGTTATAGACTTGTCTCCTCCCCCCTTTCCAAAACAGTCAGGTTTTCATTAGTTCTCACACTTGGACAGTTATTCCACAGAATATCTGCTTCATTAAGTGGGACTGTTTTTGTTTGATTGATTGATTTGTACTCTGAATTGGGAATAATAAATGTTTTCAGAGGGACTGTCTATATATGTATGTTTAGAACTGCATTAAGACTGTGTTAAACCAGGTAAAGCAGTGGGTCAGTTTCTGTTTGATGAATAATATTAAGCAGAAGCTGGTAGTTGTAGTCACTGGGGGTGATTCACAACCCTGTTAATCATATTTTACATCACACATGAGCTGTAATAATACTTCACTGTTGCGATTGTGTTAAGCTCTAACCACCTATATCTCCTGATAAGCTGTTTTACAGACTTACACTAAAGACAAACAGATACTAAAACATCACAGACACTTCACAGCAACTGACAAACATTGCAAACATTACAAAATTACATTTTCCAGTCCAGTCATGTTTGACTACTGCATGACTCCGTGTGTGTAAGTGTGTGTGTGTTTAAGCAAAAGTGAGCCAGGGTGATGATAAGCGAATAATAGGAACTTATCTCCTCTCCCGTTTGTTGACCAAGTGATAAGCAGAATCATGGAAACTGTATGAGGTACAAAATTGTTTCACGTCTACAATATACAAGAAAGAGAACTCACAGTGAGCTCTGGTCTTCATGTACAAAAGCTCAGCAAGCAAATCTCTTGTATTTGGAAGTGTAAATGGAAAAAAACAAGGTGTCCTTTATTGTCTAAATGTGCATTTGTTCAGCATTACACGGTAGAAATGCATCAAATATTCCTCACTGTACTTTTAGCAGGGACACTGCAGCTCAAGAGAGAGGAGAGCCTGCAATCTTCTTAAACTTCTTAAGTCCTCCTGTGTAGCTGATGGTGATCTTTGGCCACCCTGATCGGTTCCCGCTCACCTGTGTGTATCTGTACGTTGTTTTTCCAGACTTTTTTCTGGTGTGAGGGAGTTACTAACGATTCTAGACTGACAAACAGTTTGTAATTCGCAGGAATAGTAACGTTCTTTCTCAGGTGTCAGGTGTTCCTATCACCACTGCGTTCACACCACTTGGTAGCCCAACCCATGCTGCCGTATCACCCAGGGGTAACACCCAGTCTCCTCCACCCACCCACACTACCACCATGACTACAAAGCACCTCTTTGCACATTTTGATTCTCTGCATCACACGGCACACCTGTGACACCTTAATCTACACTCAGTTATATGTCCAGCTATACTTTAAGTAGTATCTATTAATCTACACACACACTGCATCTCCGAGGTGTATATTTTCCAGCTTCCGAACCACCACACAACAATGGCGCCTTCAGTTCTGCAAAATGGTGGATTCATCTTGGGTCTCATCGGTGCAGCTGCCCTCATTGCGGCCACAGCCATGAACAACTGGAGCGTGAAGGACAGGCAGGAGCAGGTCGTGACCTCCGTTTATACCTACAAGGGTCTGTGGCAAGACTGTGAGACGACCTCCGCCGGACTCACAGAGTGCCGCCCGCTCTACGGCCTTCTGGGTTACTCAGGTATGGCGAGGCTCTCTCAAGCCTTAATTTTCACATCCTATCTGGTGACTGACTGTTTGCTTTCAAATTAGTCTAAATCATTGTTGTCTTAAACACTGAACATATTCAGGCTGGGAATTATTTTTCCCTCACTGACAAGGCCACAGCCGCAGGAGTTTTTCTTAACAAGGAAATGAACACTCTTCCGTCTCTGCTCTAAAAGGAGATGTTACATTTTCACTGATCATAGAAGCAATTCTGTAATTTGGTTATTTTAAAATGTCTTGAGTGCTCAGGAGACGTTCAGGACAAGGCCGTATGTCGAGATCCAACATATGCTTCCTCTCAAATGTCCCAGGAGGAGGTTGTTTCACATCAACATTTCGGCCATGATGAAACATGTAAAAGCAACAGCATTGGAAAAAGATTGCTTTCCTCTCTGCGTCTCTTTCATTCAACAAATTTGTAAAAAAACAAAAAACAAACAAAACAAAACTGTAAAATAATGAAGTGAACTACATTGGCTGATTAACATCCTCACTTAGAAACCTCCCTGAACTCTTTGCAAAGTAAAATGTAATTATTAGGTTGAAGAACTTGTAGGGAAAAAAATATGTTTTGCACTTCGGAAACTCATTTTGGTCAACATAAAAACTTGATAAACCTGACTCACAGGTATATTATCATGTCTGTAAAAACTTATTTTTTACATTTATTTGAAATTTTCTTTTAACAAAGACTCTGAATATTAAAATAAAAAAATACACATATGGATAAACAAACAAATAATGATCATTTTAAAAAGCAAATCCAAACTGGAAACCAACTAAAACTGAAGTGAGGACAAAAATGAAAAATAAAAAAGGAAAAGTGCTAAGAAGTGAAATGCCCTACTGGTAATAATAGGGTGAAAACCTCACCATGTTCATCAGCCATGAACCTGAGTTTTTAAATGTGTCTGTAGAAGTTTTGAACTGTCGTGTAGGATGTAGATACGTTTCAAACTAAGTAAAGAGGAAGTTAAGACAAAACAAAAAAAGTGTCACCGAAAGAGATCAAACCCTTGGTTTTTGTGAGGGTTGGGCCCGCACCTATTAGTGTTTGCATTAGCATTTCTATCATAAAGGCCAGGCCCAGACTCGGTTATCAGAAAGCAGAACAAACAACAAGCAAAGGCACCTCCCAACAGCACATCTACTGTAAGAGAACACACTTCAAATCTTTAGACACATTGTATTTGAAGAATTAGTCATTTCAGTATAAAAGCCTACCTTGAGTGTTTTTTGTGAAGCCATCTACAGTTTTTGACATAATAAGACTTGAACTGAACTCATCAGTGGTCTTAGGTTGACTAGAGTCAATGTAACGCGCTAAGGTCTCCGTGTTTTCTGTCCACCAGGTACCTTCCAGACGGTGCGAGCTCTGATGATAGTGGGTGTGGTGCTGAGCGTGCTCGGGATGCTGATATCAGTCTTTTCCCTGAGCTGCCTCACAATGAACAAGATGGCAGACAGCGCAAAGGCTAACATGAGCCTCACTGCTGGCATCATGTTCGTCATCGCAGGTCATTATTTACCTCTGTGAACTTTCTAGTACAAACTAAACTGAATTGTTTTTGTCTTTTTGTTTCTTTTTTTGGGGGGAGGGTGTCTATTATTGGACACCCCCAGAGTATCTTTGTATGACCAATGGTTCAAAATCATCTTTTTTTTTTAATCTTGCACATTGCAAAACCCGATTGGATGCCCCTCACAAACAGGCAGGTGGGCGGGGCCTCTGTGCTGAAAGTCATACAATTAGGGACATCCGTTGTGACTGGTGTCATTCAAATCAGTGAATGTTTCTCCTAAACTTTGTCGAAATATCCCATTTTTGTTTTTTATACAGTAACTTTAACAGGATTGTCAGAGTTACAGGCCCCTCAAGGAATGCAAATGGCTTAAAATCATTGTTACAGAAAACTATTTTGACATAGAAGTAATTGCAACTTGAAGCTGAGCCTGGCCTGAACAGGTAAAAAGGTCAAACGGAGCTCTTTCATATGAGATAGCTTGTGTGAACCACCCTTGAAGTTGACCCAAATTACATTTTTTCCATTTGGTTTCAGTTTTCAATAGAGTTTAAATGGTTTTTGTTATTGATTTTTTTCAACCATGAAATATTCATGTGGTGTATTTATGAAGTTATGAGGGCTCAAATATACTGAAAAAATGTATGCTACCTAAAAAGAGCCAAGTTCTACCCACCCTTAAATACTTTGAGGGCCTGTAACTGGAACAATATGTGAACTGAAGTTAAAATTTTGTACACTTTCATTAGATTATGTTAAAGTTACGGGACCACCAAAAGTAGCAGATTCTGAATGGGTCGGTTGTAAACTTTCCTCAGACCTGGCTGATTTTATATAAAACCATCCACTGACACCATACTGAGCTACACTGTAAGAGTAAGTAAAATACTTACAGTGTTGCCAGCAAGTTGCTGTAACATTTAAAGCAACCATGCTGTAATTTATTTAACATTTGTACAGGACAATGCTGCACAAATGTTGTGATGCTTTAATTTTACTGAGGTTCTTTCACACTAATGTAATCTTGTGCTTTTGTTGTATTTACTTTAATTTGTACAGTTTCTATGATAATTTCTTTCATGAAACTGCAGTATTTGCAAAGAAGTATTGACATTCATCATATCCAGGAGATAACTTTAACTGCAGGAAGTATTCTTAAAGCTATTCTTAAAGCTAACTGCATCTGACATCTGAAATTTACAGCACAGACTGTATATTTGATCTAATGGTCAAATAAACTGATATGGGCTCCCAGAATGCAGTTTGGATCAGTCTGGGCTCCACAGGAATTATTTGCACCTCATTAGTTAAAACACCTCATATTTAATATGAGCATCCACTGCAGTCATTATAGCAGTATTTGACCAAGCTGAGAGTGTGGCAGAGGTAAATAAATCACTGAGCTCCTGTTTTTCTCCTTCTCTCAGGTGTGTGTGGCATTGCAGGAGCTTCTGTGTATGCCAATCAAATTGTGGAAAGTTTCAGGACGTCCACCTACACCAGCTACACACAAGAAATGATGGGAGAGGGGATGAACATGGGAATGGGCGGAGTAGGAATAACCACGTATGATGCTGTTTTGCTTGCATGTAATTATTTCACCAAATAATTCCTATAGTGTGTGTGCAATGTAATGTTTTTTGTTTTCTGCTTCTTCTTTTTTTTTTACCAGTTACACATTTGGCCCAGCACTGTTTGTTGGCTGGATCGGCGGGGGCGTCCTGCTCATTGGTGGCATCCTGA